TCCAAATCGACGGATAAATTATAAAATTGACCAGATAAAAATCCAAATCGACGGATAAATTATAAAATTGACCAGATAAAATCCAAATCTTCCAATTATCTGATAATAATAAGTAAATGTATAAATTACAAAGGAGATGTGGGGAAACTATAAAACAATGGAAAAAGAAGACAATTGTTAGAGTCAAATTTTGCTTGTAAACGTCCAATGGACATAAAACACAGAAATTGTGCAGTGTACACAGACCGTTTTCTTCTAATAAGTTGATTTTCCACCAAGTGGCAAACCTATTTGCTTTATTTTAAGCTAGTACTCCCGCTTTTACCCGCACTTGAACGATTGTAGTCGACCCACGCAACTTAGAATCTGAAACCAAAAATTCCTGTCTCCCGAGTTCCCAAATCAAAATTTGAGGCAATTCGGTCCAGGGGTTCCTGAATTATGATGTGACAAACAAACATACAGACAAACAGAGATTACAACTCTATATATAGATACAACAGATTGACAATTGAACATAAGATTTCTGAAATGTCTTTCAGTGTTTCCTCATATTATCGGAAATCAAAGACGATTTCCCCATATATATCAGGTCGCATTTCTAAGGTGTTTTGGCTTTCAGAAGACTCCATGACATCTGCGAAGTTAAACATAATTCAAAAATTAGAATTTTTAAAAGTTTTATTTATAAAAAAGACAACATTTTGAATCTGACAGAAAAATTAGTTGAATAATGTATATAAGAGTAAAACCAAGCGTTCGTCACTGAATGGTTTGAAAATTGTGTAGTAAAATAAAACTTTAATACCATACAATTTTAAAATATGCTTAATCTCTACGATTTTTGTTGCGTTCCCTGGTAGCCAAAAAACCCTGCATTTGTCCAAAAACTGGAGACGGAGAATGGTTCACTTTAACTACACTACACTTCACAAGAACAATATCGTGATAGAGCCTTCAAATCTTTAATTTAAACTTTTTGTCATATTTTCATTTTTCCAGAATCAATTTGACCAATCAAATCAATCAATCAATCTAAAAGGTTGTAAACGCTTTAAACCAGTTTTTTACACTATTGCTTTGTTTTCCATGGTGTACGAACTGCATGGAGTGTATATATTAATGGTCCAGTGTATGGAGTGTATGACCCAATGCATATATATATATATATATTATAACAATGGTCCAGTGCATTGAGTGTATACATATATTTATATATCAATGGTCCAGTTTATGGAGTATATATATATCAATGGTCCAGTGTATGGAGTATATATATCAATGGTCCAGTGTATGGAGTATATATATCAATGGTCCAGTGTATGGAGTATATATATCAATGGTCCAGTGTATGGAGTATATATATCAATGGTCCAGTGTATGGAGTATATATATCAATGGTCCAGTGTATGGAGTATATATATCAATGGTCCAGTGTATGGAGTATATATATCAATGGTCCAGTGTATGGAGTATATATATCAATGGTCCAGTGTATGGAGTATATATATCAATGGTCCAGTGTATGGAGTATATATATCAATGGTCCAGTGTATGGAGTATATATATCAATGGTCCAGTGTATGGAGTATATATATCAATGGTCCAGTGTATGGAGTATATATATCAATGGTCCAGTGTATGGAGTATATATATCAATGGTCCAGTGTATGGAGTATATATATCAATGGTCCAGTGTATGGAGTATATATATCAATGGTCCAGTGTATGGAGTATATATATCAATGGTCCAGTGTATGGAGTATATATATCAATGGTCCAGTGTATGGAGTATATATATCAATGGTCCAGTGTATGGAGTATATATATCAATGGTCCAGTGTATGGAGTATATATATCAATGGTCCAGTGTATGGAGTATATATATCAATGGTCCAGTGTATGGAGTATATATATCAATGGTCCAGTGTATGGAGTATATATATCAATGGTCCAGTGTATGGAGTATATATATCAATGGTCCAGTGTATGGAGTATATATATCAATGGTCCAGTGTATGGAGTATATATATCAATGGTCCAGTGTATGGAGTATATATATCAATGGTCCAGTGTATGGAGTATATATATCAATGGTCCAGTGTATGGAGTATATATATCAATGGTCCAGNACTAAACTCATATACTGAAGAACTAACTATAACTATAAAGGCACAAGCTAAACAACCCCCGGGAGAAACATTTTTTGACAGACGGTAATTTTGTAGCAATCATTTTGATTTGTGTCTGGCCTAAAGATCTGCCCAACCAGGCATACCAACCAATCAATCAAACATTAGGATTTCAATCTTCGGCGACCATTTTTTTAAGTTTAAAGTTTTTCCGATTTTTATTTTAAACTGAAATGACAAATACGTTTAAGAATGTTGATATGTATTGGATGAAATATTTCAAATATAAACGTTATGTTTTTAAAGTAAGTTTTTTAAGGCTTCAAGGGTAAAACGTCCGCCATGTTTTCATCCGAAAATGCCGCAATTATTTTTTTCGAAAATGCCGCAATTTTTCACCGACATTTGTGAGCTGTACTCCACTCCTGGTCGATGATTATCTGATTCTCATTGATAGACAATCTGAACAATTCGTAGGGATTGATTTCAACTCAAGACAAATCTCAGTGAATTCACGGCATCAAATCACTGTAATTTTCAATTTTGGAATTTTCAGTTATAACTTGAAGCACGAGGCCGAAGCGCATGAGCTGTGCACTCAATAATTTTGTAAAATGGTATTTTATTTTTCACTTTACACACTCTACGCTCTGCACTATACATTTTTATAAAGTCAAAATTCAACCCATTTTGTACATTTAATTAGCACTATATCAACAAGACCAAGAAGATTTCAAAAATGACCAAAATTACTTTATTTCGTGTTTTACTTCGTTTTCATTCAACAATGCTAAGGTCCCATTTTTATCAGTTCTTATACAAAATGCATGATAAAAAGTTAAGAATTTTTACTTTTTAATGAAATGAAAATTCAGTTTTGATGAGACCTAAAGTTGTTGAGTAAACTGATCTTAGTAAAGTTTAAAACCATGGTTTATGATTCATAAAATATATGTTTATAATGCAGGCTGCCAGGCATATCTGATAAACATATGCTTACAATCTGAATATATACAATAGGGGGGGGGAGGGGGCATTGAAGAAACAATAGATATAATCTAGATGAATCTATGAAAGATGGTGACAGGAAAAAATTTCCCGTAAAAAAATGAAAATAAACAAAAAAAGTCCCAATTTTCTGAAGTCCTCGGTCCTGAGTTTTAAATTCCTTGGACATTTTTTCTTACTGGAACCAGACAAAGGTCCTAGAAAATAAAATCTTAAAATGGAAGGACTTTATTTCCGGAGACTTCTTATTTCAAGGACTTTTTTTCACAGGACATTTTTAATGCCAAAATTTAGGACTTTATTTCCGAAAACTTTTTTCAGAAAACTTTTCCGACGGTTACCATCTCAATTGCCCCCCTCCATATGTGCAGTGTTATGTCTAATTCACAACGGTTCCCTTTAAAGAAAGATTTGATTTTATTAAATTCGCAAAAAAAAACGCAATAACTTGTTGATAAGTTTAAATCACACTGTTTTACAATTAGAAATATTATTATTTTCTTTACAGGAGTCAAAAAATAACATAGAATTTCGTCCAAATTTTTAAAAACTGCGATTAACATTATTATATTTGGCGTACAGGTCCGTTTTGCCTCATATAGTACGTCTGTATTTGTACTCTACTCGGTACATGAAATTAACCGTGATTCATGATGTTTGCTTAAAAACAGTCATTTAGTGTAAAATCATAAGTATATGTTTAATAATTCTTGAATTATTTTAAACCTTTTTATTGCTTAGAATTTTTTAATTAGACATTAATATGGATTTTTTCTATCAGATT